TGTATATATATATATACATATTTACGACTATTTCGAAACCTACCCCTGGGTCACCGACGGCTTGGCAGCTTCCAGCTCGGCGGCCAAAGGCTGCACGTCCCGAAGGGAGAGGCTCCGCTGACCTCATCTCTCAATATGTGGATGATATGTAGGGAGTATATAGGGATTATACAGGGATTATATGGGGAATATCAAGGGATTATGTAGGGATCATATAGGGATGAGACATAGGGACAGTGAAGATATAAGGATGATGTAGGGATTATATAGGGATTGTATTCCCTGGTTCCCTACTAAGAATCCGTAATTTCGGGGAAGGCCCAGTACATATCATCTATCTGGTTCTCGCCCAAGTCGCAAAGGCTGCACCTCCCGAACTTCTCCACGGCTTCGCGGAGGCAGCTGATGCCTTATTCCCTACCAACCCGAAACCCTAAGCCTAAACCCTATCTATCTATCTATCTACATAATATTCATATATCTATATATACACACACATACGTGTACCCTTCTGGTCCAATTACAAACACCAGGGAGGGATGGGCGTTGCCACAGCAGGCGCCCGGCAGAAAGCGTGCGCACATGGAGTGATGGCCATCTTTTGCACCTGCACAGTCAGGGTTTATGGGGATTTCCCAAAATTAGGGGTACCTGTTTGGGGTTCCGCATAATAAGGACTATACTATTTTTGGGTCCATATTGGCTTCCCTTATTTTGGGAAATTACCTTATAGGGTTTAGGGTTTATAGGGTTTTGGGTCTGGGGTTTACCAAGAAGGTGCAGGAGAGCAAAGGGCGCTGATGGCGCTGGCAGCATGTTCTGAGGCGTGGGCCGGAAGATTGTCCTCGAGGCAGACGGAGCAACTTCGATCCTTCCAGAGGATTCACACTTCCTGATCATATAGGGATTATTTAAGGATGATTTGTAATAGATTCCCTGATTCCCTGCTGAGATCCAGTAAGTTATAGGTTCCCACTCCAAAGCGTCACTTTGTCCCGCCTCTGGCTTTTGACCACCAAGGGCCGCAACCGTCCGTCGGAAGAAGTCCATAGAAGTTGCAGCTTCATGCAACTCGCGCAGGTTCTGCCCCTCACGATTCAGCCACAGCACGCTGCCAGGCATTCTGGAGACTCATGGAGATAGGCCAAAACCCTAAACCCTAAACAGTTATTTCCACTCTATTTCCAGTGTCCCGATATAAACCCAATCTAATCCCAGTATAATCTCTATAACGGACATAACAACTCCCCCTACGCAATTAGTATTATCATTATTATTACTACTAGTATTACTATTGTTATTTGTACTTGTAGTTGAGCAACTTGCATCTTCCTTTTCGGGCTTTTCGAGCTGGCAGCTTGCCATTGATGGCCTGCTCCGTGCATTCGGCAAGCAGCAGTTTCTCCAGCGCTTTTGCCTGAAAAGTTGGAATCGTGCACCCTGGCTTTGGCTTTGCAAACCCTAAGCCCTAAACCCTGAACCCATTATTATTTCTATATGTATATATATATATGCAACCCCCCCCCCCCAAAGATCCACC